GAGACTTTTGTCATCTCCTAAGAAAGTAGCTCCTGAGCTACATGGCTGAGCTCGCAGGACACTTGTGTATATCGCGCGGCTGCAGAATGCCCTGCAATCAAAGAAGGGCTCCAGCAAGCTCTTTGGGGAGCTGCAGTTTGCTGTTACACCACCTTCATGCCACTTGCTTTAAGCAGAGATGAGGAGGTTCGAATTTTAAAACGTCTCTGCAGAGGGGCTTAAACACGGGTGAAGAGGGATGGTGAGAGCACAGCACGTCGCAGCGGGGATCCGCTTGCCCGGGCAGCCCTGGCCAAGCGGGCAGCGCCGGGCGCCTCCACAGCAGCGCAAGAAGTGCTGAGACAGGCAGTCACCGAAGAGCCTCCCTGCAGGAGAAACACGGTTTACTTCTCCGTCCAGGGAAGAGCGGCTGCCGCCCTGAACACGAGGACCGTTGTACCCAAACCCGGCTTTTGTTTAGTCCTGAGCCACAGGGGTGCCTAACCTCCGCAGGCATCTCCCTCAGCTCCCTCTCCCCATGTCACCGGGGTAATTAGTTCCATATTGGCTCTTGCACAAAAAGAGATTTCATTCATCTGGTTTTAATTTTCAGTCCTTCTGACTGTCTCCTTGAGCATATATTCTATGAACGGCTAAACAGAAGAATCCAATCAACCTTTCTCTGCACCATTAATTATCCTAGACTCCTCTCTCATCCTTCTCTACATCACCTCTAATTAAGGAGATTCCACACTTCTTATAGCTGGAATTTTTTTCATATTGTTGTTCTTATTGCACTTTGTAACCCTCCCTCCTTTGCCGTAGCCTCTCTAAGACGGAGCAATCAGAACCACAAAGCAATACTCCGGATGCAATCGGTCCGCCTGTTTATTATTTTCAGCATTGTTTTCCCTCCTCTCACCTTAAATTCTCGCCTAAGATGCTGATTGCTGAATCTATTGGTGTGAGAGGTACTCAAATACTACAGCGTAAAAACCTCGAAAAACCAGGCAGGTGCTTTTGGTTTGCTTTTTTTGTCTGCTGCTAGAGCAGAAGCAGGGATTTGCATTTTTCTGCTTGCAGCAGTAGCTGAGCTTCTCCTCCGCATTCCCTCCTAAATGCCAGTTCCTCTAGAAGACTTTAAGGACAGCTGGGTGTATCACGCAGCACATGGAAATCACGGTAGTCATGGTTTGATCGGAACCAGCTCGTAGTCTTGCCCTGTAACTGCACTGGAACCACCGCCTTTTTAAAACTAGAGCCACCCTGTTGGTTTCAATACGATTTAAACCGCTGTAGCTGGGATGAAAATCTGCCTTTATATCCAAGGTCGGATCTTTTTAGAGGCATTGGTCTCACTGATACACATCTTCACTGTGTTTTGCTTAAAAAAAGCTGCCATTTACATACAGTTAGGCAGAGAGAGACATTTCAACACAGCGTCTCTGGACTGCTGCTGAGGAGGTGCGTTTCCCCAAGCTATGCGAATCACAAGCCTTTACTCTGTGCGAACAAGCCCTCAGCGGGGAGGAGGAAGGAGCCACAGTGTGGCATCACTGAGTCCCCGATATTCTCACCGCTCCTTCCTGTAGCCTTATCACCCCACACCCGCTCTCGAAGGGGATCACAGCACACAGCATCGCCCTGGCCTCGTTTATTAAACCAGCAGAGACATTTTCAGAACTTTACCAGGTCTTGCGCCTTCACTACTGTGATCTGCACTGGTTTTGTTGGTGGCGGTTGTGACTCGCTGGGAAGAGCTGCAGCAGCGGGCAAGGCAGAGGACTCCTTTCCAGCAGACAGCCCCACAGGGACCTCCATGGCTCTGCAGGAAAAAGAATGAGGAAAGAAACGTGAAACTGCTCTATCCCTCTCCCAGAAACGTCTGCAGGACACAGCAGCCGTGGCTGCTAGCACTATTCGGGGCTTGGCTGTCAAAACACCACCGAAGGCGCAGGGTCTCGTCAGTGACGAATCTTTTGTGAGGGGCGGGGGGAAGACAGGGAGACATGTAACGTGAAAGTTATCTGCCTCTGTAAATGTAACCCAGCTGCAGCTCTCAGCTCCTCTGTGCACATGGGAAGGGTTCGGCGTGGCAGGCTGCCCTCGGCAGGGCTCTCCCCAGCGCAGGGTACGGCCCCGGGGCTCTCCGTTGCTGGGGGGCCCAAGGCCGGCGGCTGCCAGCCCGTCCCCACGCGGCCCCCACACCCCCCCGGGGGGGGACCTGGCTCCATCCATCACCACAGGTTTGTCTGCGGCACCTCTGCCCCGGCCGGCGGGCGTGAAATCCTGAGACACGGCTGGGCCGGCCGGCGAAATCCCTCCGGAGACACGGCTGGGCCGGGGACGCCCCTGTGACCCCACCGCACCCGGGTGCCTCCAGCTCCCCCGGCCCC